GAATCCCTGTTTTTCTGTGGCTGCTGAGTTCTGCCCACTTCTTCCTTATTTGCATGGTTCCTTGAGTTCCTTGGGAGGCTGGGGTCATAGCTTGGTGGTAAGTGCTTGCCTAACATGTACACAGTATTGGACTCAGTCTCCAGCACTGCCACTCAAACAAGGAAGCTTCCTGTGGGTTGTAGATCAGTCTTGGAAATGCCAAGGGTATGTACAGGTTGGATGGGTATGGCATTTAGCCCTTTCTAATTTTCCTCAGCTTCTCTGTCACCATCCTATCCCGCCTTTCCTAGTCAAATGTGTTCTCTCAGTGGTCTTTTGCAAACACACCTTTAGCCCTCCCGCTTAGCAGCTGCTGATTGAATTCCTATCAGGAGAGCCTGTTCCAAAAGTCAGCTGCTTAGTCAATGGGAATATGGGAAGCACCCAGGAAGGAGGCGTGGTTTCTAAGTAGCCAGAGTAATCCTGGGTATAAGGGCCTGTGCCCTTTATCCTTCTCCTGAGAAGGTCATTGAGTTGAGCAGAACAAGGAGCTCCTAGGACAGTTTGAGGCTGGATAGGGTCAGGAGAGAGCATCTGCCAGGAGATTATCTTGTTTGTAACAAGATTGATCAATAAGTAAGCATGCTAAGAGTCATGAAAGCCCGGGTTGGTGAGGCGTGTCTGTCATCCTTCCTCAGAAGAAGGCTGAGGCAGAGAAATGGTTACTTAGGGGCTAGACTGAGCTTGCTCAAAAGGACTTTCTCAGTGTTGTGTTTGATGTAGTTGCAACTTGTAAATTTTGTGGAAAGAATACTGATGTAGTGAGTGTAATAGAAAGTACTGGCATGGCCAGGTGGTGGTGGCGCACGCCTTTAATTCCAGCACTTGGGAGGCAGAGGCAGGCGGATTTCTGAGTTCGAGGCCAGCCTGATCTACAGCGTGAGTTCCAGGACAGCCAGAGCTATACAGAGAAGCCCTGTCTCGAAAAACAAAACAAACAAACAAACAAACAAAAAACAAAACCAGAAAGTACTGGCATAAAGCTCATCAATTTTATATATATATATATACACACACACACACATTTGTGTGTATATGTATGACTACAAATAGAAATGTTAAATGTATATACATGTGTATATTAATATATGTGCATGGGCTGGAGAGATGGCTCAGTGGTTAAGAGCACTGATTACTCTTCCAAAGGTCCTGAGTTCAATTCCCAGCAACCACATGGTGGGTCACAACCATCTGTAATAGGATCTGATGCCCTCTTCTGGTGTATCTGAAAACAGCAACAGTGTAATCATAGTAAATATAATAAATAAATCTTTAAAAAAATAAATAAATATATGTGCACATATTATGTAAATATATGTATACCTATGCACACATCTTTGTGTTTACATAGTCATATATATGTATATATCTACATGTCTACATGTGTGTGTGTGTGTGTGTGTGTCTGTGTCTGTGTGTGTGTGTTTTCAAGACAAGGTCTCATTATGTAGCTTTGGCTGTCCTGAAACTCACTATGTAGACCAACCAGACTGGCTTCAAACTCACAGAGTTCTGTCTGCTTCTGCTTCCCAAGTTCTAGGATTAAAAAAATGTACCACTATGCCTGGATTTATAATCTTACACTTTTCTTAATTTTAAAAGAAAGTGTTTTTAACGTGCTTGGTTTTTTTGCTTGCCATTTATGTGCACCACATTGCAGTACCTATGGCGACCAGAAGAGGGCGCTGGATCTCCCGGACCTGGAGTTAAGGGCTGTTGTAAGCTGCCATGGGAACTGAACCCTGAACTCCTCTGCAAGAGCAGTCAGAGCTCCTAACCAGCTCTCTAGTCCTCGGAAATAGTCTTTAGCTTTCCCTACTGAGATCTTGGTGTGAGCACATCTGACTGGTTTTTAAATGCAGTGCCTCGCTAAAGAAAAAAAGAATTACTTGGAAAAATGGCTAGTGCCAGGTTGGGAGCAGAGATGATACGTTTATTGTGCCACAGAATATGAATAGCAATGAAGCCATGTTCAAAGGACACAGATACCTGCTAGAACAGGCTCGCTGGGATAGTCTGAACATCCACGTAAATGATGATGGTGGTAGATCATAACCCAGGTTTGAAAGCAGGACGCACGATGAAGCCATGCTGATGTAAATGAGGTGAGAAGCTGTGGAATGTGGGCTTTATAGTTTGTCCATGGGAAGCATTCAGACTCCATTCCTCGGGACAGAGCAGCAGGCGCTCTTAACCAGCAAGCCACTCTCCAGTCCCAAACAGTCTATCCCTTAATCATGTGACTAAGCATGTGACTAAGGAAACGTTACCAGGAATGAGTTGAAATCCTCCCTCTGATAGCATGTGATGGAATGGATATTTGTGACCACTATGATCACAAACTGTCACAGACTGATAGCCACATCAGACAAACCAAAACTGTGGGGCATGCTACTGAAAATGAGCCAGTGATCTTCAAAATGGTCAAAGGCATGAAAGTCAGAGTTCCCAGATGCCACAGAAAATGGCTAAATTTGTCACATGAACCCATTACAGAAGATAGTAGAGATAGGTTCCCAAATCTGAGAGTTGGACTTGGTTTTTTTCCTCTTTAGTATTGTAGTTGATCTAGGAATTTACTTGCAGATTGAATTTGACATCACCCAGTCAGCCCCAAGGTCATGAGTGGTGCTCGCCTGTGGGTTGTGTTGTTGCTGAGCCAGATGTGAATCAGGTTGTGTAGTCAGTAACAGTCCCCCACCCCCAGGCTTGTTCCCGTGTGGGGATGGGCGATTAGGTGGGAGCAGATGCAATTGTCTGCCTTCAGCACAGGGCACAGCCATCACAACGGAAAACAATCCCTCCTTTGCCTTTGCACCGTGTGTGTGTGTGTGTGTGTGTGTGTGTGTGTGTGTATGGATATATCACATATATATATACACACACATACACATATATACACACACACACACATATATATACATATATACATTCACATATATACATGCATACATATATGCACACACAACACACATATACAACACACACACACATATACACACATACATATATACACACATATATACATGCATACGTATATATGCACACATGCACACACACATATATACAACACATACATATACACACATACATATATACACACACATATACACATATACACACACATATACACACATGCATACATATACATGCACACATGCACACAGACATATATACAACACATACACACATATACACATATACACACACATATACACATATACACATATACACACACATATACACATATACACAGATATACACATATATACACACATATATACATATATACACATGCATACACATTCATATATATTCATACACACTATATATACATACATACACATACATATATATATACACACATACGTACCCCACAATCTGTGAAGGACTTGATGGGTTTTCCCCTCTCAGCATATTTCTGGAGCATATTTCTACTTGGGATGAGGCTCATAATAAAGTATTAACAAGCACATTACATACACAGTGCCTTTTATGGTCCAGGCAGCAGTTGAAGTAAAAGACATGTTAACTCATGTAATTCTCTCAGTTATTTTTACAAGGTAGTTATTCCATTTTAACTAAGGAGACCAGCTACACACAAGTTCAAACAACGTTAGGTCACAGAGCTTGAAATGGTAGTGCCAGGTTTGGATGAAAATCTGATTTGAGGGAACTACTCTTATTTCCTGGGTTTTGTTGGCATAGCTGATGGTTGTAGACTCCAGATGGTGGGTAAATGGGTGGGGAGGTCTCTGGTGAGAATCAAGGAGCTACTGTGGTCAGATGCCATGACCAAGGCAACTTACACAAGAGTTTATTAGGGGCTTATAGTTCTGGGAGTTAGAGTCCATGACAGGGCAGCAGGTGGCAGTCAGGCATGGTGCTGGAGTGCTAGCTGAGAGCTTACATTCTTATCTACAAGTGGGAGGCAAAGAGAGCTAACAGGATTGGTGAAGGCTTGTGAAACTTCAAAGCCCATCCCCAGTCAAAGCTACACCTCCTAATCCTTCCCAAATAGTTCTGCCAACACGACTAACTATTCAAACCAATGGGGGCTGTGGAAGGACTTTGGATGAGAAGAGTCAAGAGTGTTCAAAGGTTAGTGAGCTGTTCTGTGGGAGGCAGGAAGGTAAGAATGGTGAGAGACATGCAGAGGGTAGAGGCCTGGCTCGTGAAGCTTCAGAGGGAAACAAATACTCATCAGAGCTTTTGTGTGGAAGGTCTATGACGTCAGGTCAGCTGGAGCCGAAGAACCAGCTGTGATTGACAAGAGACCAGAGCCACTGAACTGAAACCTTTGCTTTGCGGCGACACTGGATATTGCTCAGCTGGGGCTGAGATATTAGCAACAATTAAGGGGAGGCCAGGATCATCGAAGTGAAATCTCCTAGGAGGTGTTTCCTGAGAGTTACACACAGGTGCTGTGTTTCAGATGTGTATGAAGTGAAGTGGGCCATGGAGAGTAGCTGAGGTGTGGCACTGTGAGAGGCCAGGGAAGGCCACTGGTAAAGCTACAGCCCAGTTAGCAGTTGAAGGCTCAGAATTAAAGGGATCCCGGAGAGGAGATGAGGCTTGACACAATGGAGAGAATCCAGGAGAGGATAACAGGGAAAGAGCAAGCCAACAGGCAACAGGTCTCCGTGGCGACATCAGCGGCTGCCTCCAGGCTCCTCTATGGCCTCTGCATCAGCTCCTGTGTCCAGGTCCCTGCCTTGCTTTGAGTTCCTGCCCTGACTTCTGCTGGTGATGAACTGTGATGTGACGTGTAAACTAGATTAACCCTTTCCTCCGCAAGTTGCTTTGATCATGGCGTTTCATCACAACAATAGTAACCACGCTGAGAAGGGACCATTTTTCATTCCAACCACCACAGCTCCAAGCACAGAGTAGGTGGACGTGTGCTGACTGCCTGGCCTGGCCTGGAACTCACAAATGTCCTTTCTTCTGTCTCCCTTAAGGTCGCCTTGTGGGTGCTCTGGACGCGGTGCTCGATTCCAGTGCGAGGGTTGCTCCATTTCGGATTCTGCTTCAAGTTCCCGGGTCCCAGGTGTATTCTCCCATAGCATGTGGTGAGTTACTGAATGGATCAGACATTTACTGGGCCATAGCCACTGGTGAGTTCTGTTATAGTTGGAATGTTCCAGACCTTGCGGTCGAAGCATGCCGAGTGTCTGCATGTCCGTGGTGTTTAAAAGGTAACGCCTCTGGAGCTACGTAGCAGTTATTGCTTCCACTCACAACGACCTCTTTATCCTCTTCCTCCTTTTCATCTGCATCTACTTCTCTACCTACTCCTATGCCTTCTCTCCACTTCCTCCTGTTTTCTGTTTGGTTTCCTCATCCTCCATGTCTCTGCCTCACTTGTAGCCATCAAAAGTACATAAAGGCTGAGCGCTTGGGCATGCAGGGTTTTGAGGGGTGTCTCAGAGAGCTGATATTGCCCCGTATGAATTGAGACATGTTCTTTGTGATCTTGCCTCTGATGTAAGTGTGTGCCTGGGTATGTATGCCCACTGTGGTGACCTGAGGGCACAGTCTGAGGGCTGTGGTGATTTGTTTTGAACAAGGAGTGAATGCGCAAAAATATACACAAAAAAATGCATGTCACTCTGGGTGCTGTGGAATTTAGACCTCACCCCATGTATCCACCCAAGGTCCTGCTCTTCCTGTAGGTGCCACTTGGTGTTGCATTGAGCCCCTGGGGTCCTCCAGGATGGAAGTGTCACATTCAAAGACACACTTTATCAACAAATCCTAGTTTCTGCTTTATTCTATATGAGTAACACATGCTCTTATTTACAAAATAAGAAAATAGCACCAGAGACTCTCTCTTCGAACATGGATTACATGTTAATCTTCTATCTCTATGTGTGCACACGGCTGGAGTATTTTTAGCTTTGCACTGGGTACAGTAAACTTTGCTCATTGTCTCCTGTTCACCAGGCATACTGGACTTTCCCCCTTGGAAAAGGTAGAAGTTTGACAAAATTTCTCATTCCCACCCACCACCCCATCTAACTGCTATTAACATCGGGGTTCACTCTTGTCTGCCTTTTCTTTTCTAACTAGGGCAGATCGCTCTGCTTAAAAAAATGATTTATAAAGAAATCACCTTTCAACTACAGAAAGAAGTTAACTGTTGCCTCTAGCCACCTAAGTACCTTCTGGTTACACAAGATAGGCATCTTTCTGAGCCGCTTTCTAGTGGGTCAGAGAAGGTGGCTACAAAGGTGGAAACGTGTAATTCTGTAAAACTGGAGTTACCTCACAGGGCTGTTTTATAACGAAATTGTTACATTTAGTTAATTTCCATGGAAACAAAGAAACTAAAGAGGAACAAAAATTGTTAAACTTCAAGTGTTTAACTCTGGAGCTTGTTTGTTTGTTTTTTTTTTTTCTAAAAGGTTCGTGTAAGGTTGAGGCCAGGGACTTTGCTTATCAGTATGAATTTAGAGTTGTAGTGTGTGAAAAACAGTTTCGGTTCTAACAATGTTCTCTGTCACCTTGTGGGACAAGAGTGCCAGCATATTTTCTCTTCTGCTTCCCTATTTCTCATTAAAAAGAGCTACTGATATATCACTAGTCCCACTCAGACCTGATATTTTCCATAATATGATGTTTTCCATAATAATTTCTGATGTGTGCATGTTGGTATGGTGTGGTTCTTTGTACCATATGTACAGAGGCTAGAGGCTCACAACCGATGTCTTCCCTACCTTTTAAAGCTTGGTCTCTCACTGAATCCAAACCTCTCTGACAAGGCTAAACTAACCAGCAAGCCTGAGATCTCTGCCCATCTCTGCCTGCCCTGAGGATGCAGGCTTTGTTGTACTCAGACTTTCCATGGATGCTTTTGATCTGAATGCAAGTCCTCCTGGTTACGCAGCCAGGACTTTACCACCCACCGAGCCATCCCTCTCTCTACAGCTCCTGTGTTTTCTGTTACTGTTTGTCTCGGTTCCTTATACAGATTTAATATTTACAGTCAGCTATGACTTTTCCCATTCTGGAACCTTTATTTTGGTTCATTTCATTTTTTCTTTTTCTTTCTTTTCACTAAGTAGACCTGCTGGCCTGAAACTCTCTGTGTAGATCAGACTGATCTTGAGCTTACAGGATCACTTTGCCTCCCAAAGTGCTGGTGTGAGCCATCCTACCTGTTCCTGTGTTGCTGCGGTTCATTGCATAGCTGGAGAAATTTCTATTTTCTCCAAGTAATGTATCATGGATGTCTTGGTCTGTGAGGGTTTTCACACTTGCAGACATCTGTCTTTGGCTTTCGGATTTAGGGTATCAAGTCCAAAAGTATAGTCATAGGCCACTCTAGACATGGTGGCTACTGTCTTCATTGTTTTCTAGTGTTTCACATGACAACATAGATTTCTGCTTGTCTCATTGTCCACTCCCCACTTGTGAATTATGTGGTTTTCAAGCATGCAAGACTGAATTTATCACTGGACTAGAATAGTTTGCCTAGAATCTGTTACTCCTCTGAGGTCAGTGGATTAACCATTTTTAAACACACTGTGCTCTTGGCAGTCAGCACAGTGATTGTTTTTTTTCTAATTGTTTTGGGACACTTTTGCTATACTCCCATGCATGAATTTTGTTTTAAAATTCTCTTCCCCTGGTGTTTACTGCATATTGGGTAGCTAATGTTGGTGTTCCATTTCTGTTTGTTTCTCTTTATCTTGTTAGGCCTGTTCTCTCCATTTAGTTCACAATTCTTTTCTGAGTTAATTCAGTTTTTGGCAATATATTCTGCACCTTGCTTTTAACTTATGTTTTAGTGGTTATTGGTGGTGGTGGTGGTGGTTGTTAGATTTTGATCAGTAGTTCAGGGTCTCCATCCTTTTTAATTTCTTCTGCTTCAGCTCCGCTGAGCCTTCTCGTGGTTTGCTTTGTCCTTGGGAGCAAAGACTTCATGAAGAAGTACCTCCCTTTCCTCCTGGGGTGATCCATTTTCTCCTAGGACAGTCCCTGTCTGGAACCATTTGTCCACATCTGGCTATGTTCCTTGATGTCCAGTACAGTACTGGTCCAGATCCCACTCATGCTTGGGCACCATCCCCTCAGATGCTCTGCTGGTGTTAGCATGCTGTGACTTTACACTTGGGTTTAGGGGAACAGAATGAAGAAGACTGAGATTCTGCTAGACGGGGCTGGGCATGAACAGTAGTAGCTTCATCTTTCCTCACGGTTTTCCTGCACTCTGCCTCAAGCAAAACAGTTGGCTGCCCTCTGAATTGGAAGCCTTGGGTATGAACATTTGCATTTGTGCCTTTGTCTCCTTACTACATTGGCTTCAGTGCCCTTTTAGAAGCTAGACAAGACTTAGCCCACACCTTCCTTGATTAACTAGGGTTCTTGATCTCACATTGGCGGGTCAACTTTTCTCCCTCAGAAGCGTGGTGAACTCTCCTCTCCTCCTTTGCATCTGTTGGCTTGCCTCCAGGGACCTGGAAGTCCCGCCTATTCCTTGTTCAGCAATTGGCCCATAGTTTCTTTACTGCACTCAAGAACCAACTGGGAACAGGACCTTAGCAACAGAACTACCCCTGCAAAGTCTTCTTGGTCCCTTTCTGAGAAGCCAGCTGTGCTGCTCAGTTCCATGTCAACTTGACAGAGCAAGAGTTATCAGAAAGGAGGCAGCCTCCATTGATTAAAAAGCCCCCATAAAATTGAGCTATTGCTAAGTTTGTAAGGCATATTCTTAACTAGGGATTGATGGGGGATGGTCCTACCCATTATGGGTGGGGCCATCCCTGGGCTGGTGGTCCTGGATTCTGTAAGAAAGCAGGCTGAGCAGACCATGGTAAGCAAGCCAGTAAGCAGCATCCCTCCACAGCCTCTGCATCAGTTTCTGCCTCCAGGTTCCTGCCATGTTTGAGTTCCCGTCCTGACTTCTTCCAGTGATGGACTTGATAAACCAAGTAAACCATTTCTTCTCCAACTTGCTTTTAGTCCTGCCGTTTACCACAGCGATAGGAGCTCTAAGACACTCGGACCCAGGTCATCTGGGGCAAGCTGTGGATCCTCTCATTAAATGGGTAGAGTTCAGAGGGCAGGCATTATGATTCTTAAGAAAATATTTGCTGCCAGGCAGTGGTGCCGCACGCCTTTAATCCCAGCACTTGGGAGGCAGAGGCAGGCGGATTTCTGGGTTTGAGGCCAGCCTGGTCTACAGAGTGAGTTTTAGGACAGCCAGGGTTACACAGAGAAACTCTGTCTCAAACAACAGCAACAACAACAACAAACAAAGCAAACCAAACCAAACCAAAAAAAACCAAAAAACAAAAAAAACCAAGAAACCAATAACAACAACAAAGCCAGAAAATGGTTTGCTGAACCTGGTGACACAGGTCTTTAATCTCAGCTATTCAGGAGTTGAAGCAGGAGGATTACAAAGTTCAAGGCCTGCCTGGGCAAGTAGGTAGACCCTACCTCAATACAAAGTCAAAGTCTCACTGAGCTATATACTCCTTCAAAAAGATAGGGGAGTAGAAACGGGGCTAGTTGGGAACAGGGAGAGGGTCAGTAATGGTGGGGAAAGGGTTAAGAGAGGGGTCAGGTATTTTCAAAATATATTATGCACATCTATGAGAATGTAAGGGAAAAAACAAATGGAAAAGGGGCTGGGAGTGTAACTTGGTCTGTAATACTTGCCCAGCATGCACGAAGCTGTAGGTGTGCTAGGAGAGAAAACAATGGCTGGAAAATAACTGGTAACAGTCTATTATCATAACCTTTTCTTTTGGTGGGAAGGAAGCTAATCCAGGTCCTCACACGTGCAAAGCCAGCATCGCGCCACTGAGCTGCATTCCCACCTAGGCTCGGCTTATACAGGTGTGCTTCCGCTGCACTGTTTCCAGTCATCAGCGCTGATCTTCAGAGCTATCGCTGTTCCAAGCCGAAACACCCAAGCACCTGCAAACGAGACAGTCACTTTTCACCCTCTCCCCACTGGCCGGTGGCCACCACCAGTCTATTTTCTGTCTGAGACTGTCTTGTGTCTTATTGGTGAAATCATGCAGGCTCCGCCCTTTGAGGGGCGGAACTGGCTTCTTGC